ATAGATAGATAGATAGATAGATAGATAGATAGATAGATAGATAGATACTGTATTCATCCCCAGAGGGAAATTTGTCTGTAGCAGCAGCAAACGAAGTTACACAGTAAAATAAAATATTAAGTATGGGAAATGCACAATATATACAATCCAATAAAATAACAGAGCAGAACTTATTACATTTAAAGAAAATAAAGTAATACAAAATGCAGAAAAATGCACAGTATATACAATAAAATAGAATGGTATTAAATTAAATTAACTAAGTAGGAAAACTAAACTAAACAGTAGTGCAAACGATTGCCTACAGCAGCAAACAACCGTGTAGCGGTGTTGTAGTCATTTGAAGGATGATCCGGCCAGAGGTGATTTATTGTAGAGTCTTATAGCAGAGGGCAGGAATGTTCTCCTGTATCTTTCCTTGTGACAGCGGAGCTGGATCAGTCTGTTGGAGAAAGTGCTCCGCTGTCCCTGTAGGTGGTGGAGAGGGTGGTCCGGGTTATCCAATATGGATAATAGTTTCTTCAGTGTCCTCCTCTCCACCACCTCTTCCAGAGAGTCTTGTTTGCAGCCAATGATGGAGCCGGCCTTTTTAACCAGTTTGTTAAGTCTGTTGGTGTCTCCGGCTCCAATGCTGCTCCCCCAGCAGACTACGGAGAAGTGAAGGCACTGGCCATAACAGACTGGTAGAACATCTCCAGCATCTTGCTGCACACGTTGAAGGATCGAAGTTTCCTCAAGATAAAGAGTCGACTCATCCCCTTCTTGTACACAGCATTGATGTTGGTCTTCCAGTTCAGTCTGCTGTCGATGGAGACACCCAGGTACTTGTACTCCTCCACCATGTCCACATCCTCTCCCAGAACTCTCAGCGGTTGTGGAGCCGTCGTCTTCCTCCTGAAGTCGACTACCATCTCTCTGGTCTTGGCTATGTTCAGAAGCAGGTGATTTCTACCGGCCCACTCCACAAAGTCATCCACTACTGCCCTGTACTCCTCCTCCCGTCCGTCCCTTATACACCCGACCACTGCAGAGTCATCAGAGAACTTCTGCAGATGGCATGACACAGAGTTGTACTGGAAGTCAGTGGTGTACAAGGTGAACAGGAAGGGAGACAGAACAGTTCCCTGTGGAGCTCCAGTATCACTGACCACCGTATCAGACAGCACACTGCCCAGTCGGACAAACTGTGGTCTGCCTGTGAGGTAGTCAGTGATCCAGGAGACGATGGACGCGTTAACCCTCACCTCCCACAGCTTCTCACTCAGTAGCACTGGTTGGATGGTGTTGAATACACTGGAGAAATCAAAGAAAGTCATTCTCACAGAGCCACCGGTTCCATCCAGGTGCGACTGAGCTCGTTGCAGCAGGTAGATGATGGCGTCGTCCACTCCCACATGAGGCTGGTATGCAAATTGCAGAGGGTCCAGTGATGATTTCACCTGCGGTCGGAGGTGGGCCAAGACCAGCCTCTCCAGCACCTTCATCACATGTGATGTGAGGGCAACTGTTCGGTAGTCATTGAGGCCAGATGGAGTCATCTTTTTTAGTACAGGAACCAGGCACGACGTCTTCCACAGCATCGGGACTTCCTCCTGCTTCAGGCTCAGGTTGTAGAGATGTTGCAGGACATCAGACAGCTGGATGGCGCAGGTCTTCAGGACCCTGAGGCTGATGCCATCAGGTCCCGCAGCCTTTCCTTGGTGGAGTCTCTCCAGCTGTCTCCTAACCTGGCCAGTCGCCACAGAAGGTGGGGGGTGGGGGTGGGGGTGGAATGCAGCTCACCAGGGGGGACAGAGGGGGGAGGGGGGGAGGCAGCCGAGGTGTTCGGGAGGTGTGGTGTGTGGAGGAGACAGATGCGAAAGATGCAAAGGGTCAAGGCTGTCTCCGAGGTGATTCCCACAGGAACAAAAAGGAGCGGAAGACCGACAAAACCACACTGTGGATTATATGACTGTTTTAGCTGGTAATTAACATGTAACAAACACAACATGGGACTGATGAGCCTGTGGACCTGGTGTTAAATTGTAACCTGTGTATCTGAACCCTGTCAGCGTAAACAACACAAACCTCCATCTCACAGCTCATTAAAATGTCTTAATCCTCTTTTAAACCCACTCAAGAATTCATTACACACCAGTGGCGGGCCGTGCATTTTATACCTGGGCCTTCACTGCTGTCCTGCAGCTGAAACACAGCTACGGTTATTATTAGTTTTGTGTCAAAATGAAGCCAACACCTATAGATAGAGTGTGTCTCCTCTCTGCTCTGACTGCAGCTGGGACTGCTGCGCCTGTGTGTGCTTTGGGGCGGCGGAGGGGCTCACGGCAGCAGCTCCCGCTGCTCGTTCACCAAATTCTCCAACAACACCAGAATAAGTCTCTAGATTTGTCGCTAGTAGCTTTTGACAAAAAAAGTCGCCATGAGGGTTTGGAAAGTCACCAGATTTAGCGAGAGAGTCGCCAAGTTGGCAGCACTGGCACCGGCTAAATATGTCCCCAGAGCAACATTGGAGTAACAATGGTTCCTATCACATATTAAACCAAACAAAAATCTTCATAAAAACAAGTTGTACAAATAATAATATATAAACAAGCATATTAAAGCTACTGCAGATGTAAAAACAAACGTATTTAACTTACCAGAGCTGCTGTTCACTATTTAAAGACAAAGTGCATCCTCCTTTCTTTGTTAACAAAGAGTTTAATCCCACGGTTGTTCAGTACATCCGTGCGTTTTAGTTCCAGTAAGAAGTCCTTCTCGATTCATGGACGCCAGTGAAGACAGTCGAGCCTCCCCAGTTGTATTTCTTGAATAGGTTTTAATGCGTTTGAGGGCTAAAAATGTCCGCTCCACAGAGGCAGCAGATATTGGGATTGTCACCACCCAACATGTCAGGCTAGCCCACTGACCAATCACGTATGGCTAAACCAGCTAGAAGGCTCTGACATGTCAAAGAATACGCCCAACATGTCAAACTAAAGATCTGATTGGTTGAACACTATGACAATCAACAATATCGTCCACATTCACTTAAACTGCAAAGGGATTCACTTGTGAGTCTGCAGGCCTCAGGCCTCTGTTCTTACCTAGAGACACAGAGGTGAAATCTGATTGGATAAAAGCTCTACTTAAAACAAGCTGCACTGGAAGCAGAGCAACTGAGGAAGACAGTAGCTGTGCAATGAGAAAATAAGATAATGGGAAAGATATTTTTATAAATTATAATACATGTAGTGTATTTAAGAAAATTATTAAATTATAAAATAGCTATAACTTTCTGATTCTGTTTAGGCCAGCAGAGAAGGCCTTGCAGGCCCTGACGGCCCACCACTGTTACACACATATAATGAACTGTTTGCATTATGGTCTGTGCTCCTTTTTACTTCATGGTGTACTACGACACAACGGGCTGCCAGTATAGATATCTCAGGTTCATGGGGCGGGAGAGAAGAGCTCTGGTGAGAGAGAGCAGCAATGGGAGTTTCCTGGAGTCATGGCCAGGGTTTTGTGGTGGACAGACATTTTGTACATCCTTTTCTTTTCCTGTTTGGTGAATATGGTCTGGTGAAACGTGTGTGTCCCCACGGTCCCTGTTTGCATGTGTTTCAGATAAGGTGTGATTGTTTGTATACTCCACATGTAAGGCAGCATTACAGTGCCCTTTCCTTCCCCCACTATTTACATGCATTTGTGTGTTGGGTGATTTATTTGTCATGCAGAGATAGTTTACCGTGTGTTTATTTAACCCCATTGTGCCTCTAGTGCACATCATCTCTACTGTTCCATCCTCCTACTTTCAGCCTCCTAGATGGCACTGTTGGGCCACACAAAGGTGGAGCCCTGACAGACCCACAATCAGGGGTTATGCTGCTTCCGGGGGTTGTAGTTCAGTGGTAAGTGGCGTTGGTGTGCATGTAAGTGTTTCATAGGATGTGACATCCATGATTAAGACACTGATGATGGCGTCTGAAGATTTGATTCTCTAATCAACTGTCAAGCCGTTCCCCTTTGTTTCCTCTCAAGGTTGTAACCCTGAATGTGGCATACTGAAACATTAGTCCGTCCAGCTTTGCCAATGTGCACAAAGGCAGTTAAGGTACAATCCATTCCAAACCTGATAAAGGTGATAAGGATCCAGCTGTAATAGGATCAGAGGCAGGGTTAAAAGCAAAGAGGTGATACACACACTGCAAGGAGCTTGAAAAATGATTGGAATTCACTGTGAAAGTCAG